TACGAGTGGGAAGAAAATGCAAACTGCTCTTTGAAGCAGCACAGTACACTTCAGTGTATACAGAGGCATTTAAAAGCAGAACGAATTAGGATGTCAGATAGAGACAAAAACATGGGGCAAAAATACCAGAAGGAGAAGTCAGACATTTCAGAATTAAAAACTAGAAAAAGGATGGATGGATGAACAAATAAACCTGCAAGTCTGACTTCTGAAACAGATTCAGATCATAGCTGGTAATGGATATCTGTAGTAGAAAACAGTGTTTCTGTGGTGCTCAACAGATGGCAGAGATAAGTTAATTCTCTTAAACTAGCATTTTAGCACTTTTTTTTTTTTTTTTTTTGCACAGCCAAGTGTTTTATTTATTAGTCTACTGGTCTCCTTCTCAATCCAGATTTTTCCATTTCTCCACTGGTAGCCCTGTATCTTGATATATCAATTCCATATCCCCATTCCATTCCTAACGCACAACTGAAGCAGAAATAAAAGCCCGCTCACTTAAAAATATAAAGTAGCTGTTTAGCAGAAGATAGGAAGGAAGTTGCCAGGTGGTTTTCTTCCTGCTCTTGTGGGCTTTTTATCTGAATGCATCAGGTGGGCCTGGATTAATGAAAGTGCTTTTAAACCAAAGGATCTCCAACACCCACTCTGTATGTTACAAGTACCGTGTAATTAACTGGTTAATTGTGCAATTACCTTAGACCAGCTACACTTGCAAAGTAGCTATCACGCCATAAGAAGGTCCAACCAGCTATAAAATTAGACCTTGAAAATAAGTACTAACTTTGTAGCTGGTTGCGGTTGAGCTTGAATTTGCACACATAGCAGGGTCTCCCTGGTGGCTGACCCCCTCATCAGCCAAGGGGCTCCCAGCAGCAGGGGTGCACCATGCCCACTAACGGCCAGGAGTCACACAACTGAGGAGACTCTTAGATCAGCAGCTGCTGACTCTGGGTCCCAGCAGCAACAAAGCTGAAAAACACTACCTAATCTTATTTCAATACAACCTTGGGATTTTCCTGCGTACTATTTTAGCCGTTATGATGCATGTGAGAGTATTTGTGTTTCATTTTGGTTTTTGCACGTCTCCATTATTTTTCCCCTATCAGAGTTAAACTCCCCTTATTACTTTGGCCAGTAGCTATTATTTGGGAGGGGACTACTTCACACTTAAAAGAAGGTCTTGTAGGAATCAAGCTTTTCTAGGTAATGGGCACTAGCATGCCCTTTGAACCAACACTTCATGTGCACGAACCCTAATTTTTATTCATTATGCATACGTTCAAAGTTTGGGGTATAAAGCTGCAGTTCCAAAACCCATGTAGGTGACCAATATGGTTAAGATAATTTCCAGTTAAGTTACTACACAAGAGCAAGAACAAAAGCTTTAAAATCTACTTCCCCAACTCCAACGAGTAAGATGCAGGAATGTTTTTGAGGCACATAAGCAGCAGTAACTAGAGTCTGTCAGCTGCACAAGCCCTTGATTTATTTGCTCTCCTCGATTTGACCTCAGCCTTTATTCATAGCCTTTCTGCATACATACAAGCTGCCTCATCTCGGATACAGATAAATTAACTGTTCCTATGAGGACAACTGTTTGTTTGATTTAGAACTGAAACATGACTTGATAGTGATAAAGGGCAAAGGGAATTTGGATGTTTTTCCTGCCGACTGTCTCTCCAGCAGCCAAGCATATGGCCTTTTGCCTTACCCTTGCCCTGTTTTATAAATGAAGTCTAGCTTTGGTTATGGAGAACTACTGATGAAGTCTGTAGCCAGTTCCCAAGCCCTTCAAGGAGAAAGTTCTTTTATGGCCGAGAGAGAGAGAGAGGGGACACAGAAAGTGGGGGGGGGGGGGGGTGGAAGGGGGGGGGGGGAAGAAGAGCTGACCCCCATCTCGCGTTCTGATTCGAGTCCCATCACAAAAAAGTTTCTCCCTTTCAAAAGTAGAGCCTCTCAACAGTCAAACATAGTTAAGGTCCAATCCTACAAGAGTTTGGAACAGATGGGCATCCGTCTTCTTTGGGAACCACGTGGACTTTAGTGGGCCTTCACTTCGGCTGCTTGCAAAGTACAGGCATTTTCAAACCCACAGCACTCGTGTCCATTAGCCTTATAAGACTGATGCCTACTTAAACAATGATTCAGTGAAGCATTTAAACTCATGCTTTATTAAGCGCTTGTTTAAGCCCCACTGATGTTATGAGGGAACTGCTGAATTGGATGGGGCATTAATAATTGATTTACAACTAGAGGTGCACCTATATAATCAGTCACTTATTGGATCGGCACCGATAAAAGGAAAATTACCATTATCAATAATTGGCTTTTTTTGGCCAGTGTAGCCAGTAATGTCACTGATAAATAGTGTGTGGCATGTGCATAGCTACAGGAATGCAACCCAGCAGCTTGGAGAGCAGCAGGGGGCTGGTAAATGGGAAAAGGGAAGGGGTGTGGGGAGGGGGCAAATCCAAGCCTCCAGAGAGCGAGTGGGAGGGAGTGACGCAGAGACTGCTCAGCCAGGGCAGCAAATGGGTCCATGACACCAGAAGCAGGACAGAGCTGCAGGCAGCTTGTCCAAGGGGCATGGCAAGTGGGTGGCTCCCTACTGCTACGTGCACCCCTAGTGGAAGCATGGAGGGCATGTGCCCCCCAGATGCGTGTGCAGTGTGAGGGCAGGCTGCCCACTTTGGGCTTGAGGCCAGGGGCTGCATCAGCTTCTTATCCGTGGGGGAGCTAGGCCAGGTCTGTATTCGGGGCAGGCGGCAGTAGCACTGGGAGGGGTGGCTATGGAGAATTTGGGGGGGGCTGTAGCCCACCCCGTAGCCACCTCTTCCAGTGGTGCTGCCACTTCCCTCAAGCACAGCACAGCCCCATCACTAGAAAGAGACTGGCACAGCCCCTGCCCCCAAGTATGCAGCAGGCAGCCCGCCCTTGCCCTGCATGCAGATCCGGGGTCAGATCTGCACACAGATCCCCATTCCTCCCCCAGGGGTGCATACAACAGCAAGGAGCTGCGCCCCCCTTTCCAGCTCAGTCCTTTTTCCAGCCCCAGGTACACATTTACTGCCCTGGCTGGGCAGTGCCTGGCCCTGCCCCTGCCTAGGGTTACCATATTTTCAGTATCTAAAAAGGATACCCGTGAGGGGAGGGCAGTAATATGCTCATGCCCTGCCCCTGCCCTTCACTCCCAATCCACAGCCCCTACCCCACAACCTTGCTGGTGTCCTGCCGCCCCTGCCCCTCACTCTGGACCCATGTAGAACCAATTAAAATCGTCGTAACAAAAGCTATCAGAACTAGTGTTTCCACTCATGGAGATGCAAGTCTGACACTGCCCACTAGTATCCAAGCATTGTTTAAAGACACCATCATTAAAGCAAGAATTCCAAGGTCTACATTAGGGCTCAGCAATGTATTCTAGTGGCAAGTGGGAAGGACCCAACTCAGTCAAAGGCAGGCTAGGACCCAGGCACTGCCTCTTTTCCCCATCCCCCAGATGAAGTACAGCTTGGGGGAAGGCACCTACCACCAAAGGCCCTACTACAATGACCAGACCCTAGGACTCCCCAAGCCAGATGAATTGCACGTGGCTAGTCCTCAGACAGGGATTGGGCCCTGCCACGCACTGCCCCTACCCAGCTGGGATCAGGCTGTGCACCACCGTGCACACTCGATCTAATGCTTGGGGCTACAACCCATGTGGCTCTGCAGACCAGATAACATGGTGCTGAGGGATAGATCTGGTCTGCAGGCCAGTGGCTGAGCACCCCTGCTGGAGACCCCCCGATCTAAAGGGATTGTCAGATTCAGGTTAAGAGCCTTATTCTCAATATTCATCATACAGGAAGCAATTTGGGTAGCCTGGGAGTTAAGAGCAAAGAACAGATTAGAAAGTCTCTGAAGTTTCTTTTTAAATGCAGCTTTTAAAAACAACTTCCCATTTCAGTTCAAGAATCCTCCAACAATTTGTCACTCAAGCAGTCATTCACTATCATAGATAATTAAGACATTACAATAGAAAAATTTAAACGGTATCAGAGCCCTCCAAAACAAGCATAGGCAATACATGGTAGGAAGTAAAAAAAAAAAAAACTCCAGTGTGTTTTTATCATGAAAACTCGCTAGCACAGGGGTCGGCAACGTTGTTGGACAAAGTGCCAAGAAACACCTGCAACCTCGATTTTTAAGATGTTGGTGTGCCAGGATCAAATGGCAAGGAGCCATGAGGGGCCCAATCCTTGTTGTGGCAGCACAGCCTCAGCCCCTTTTCCCACCGCCTGTCCCAAGGTGTGCATGCCAAGCAAAATGCCTGTGTGTGTCATAGTCTGGCACCCGTGCCAGGGGTTGCCTACCCCTGCTCTACCAAAGCAAATAAAGGTTCAATCCTTTTTCCATGTGCACATAATACATTATCAGCCTGTAGTCCAGAAACAATCAACATCTTGAAAGACCTTTTCTAGAAAGGCTGTTCAGACACAACAGGCAAAGTTGCATTTTATACTGGATATTTAAACGGCTTAAAATCTACAAAAAAACCCCAACATATTGCCAATATAGGGTAATCTATAGAATGGCTCTATAGAACTGCTCCGTCTTTCGTCACTGGATATAATTGACGGTGTTTCCCGTTTTACTTGAGATGCCATATACAGGCTAAATTCTAGCTTTTCTTTTACCCAGAATATGCTAACCTCTAATTTTAGGGCCTTGTCAAAAAGGATTAGGTAATTTAAGAAAGTCCACCAACCAATTTATTCAGTATTAAAGATCCATAGAAAGTATTTAAAATAGTATCTGAAACAAAATTAGCCTTCGTAAAAAGCACTGAGCAAAGTTCTGTTCAGTTTTATGCTGGTGTAAGTCTGCAACAGTCCCACTTCAGTCAAGGGCATTTGCTCCCTATTTTAATTAACATGACTTAGAGGTAAATGCAACCCCAACTTCCCCAAAGATAAATGGAATGAATGTCTCCCACTGGCTTTGACTCATTCTGGAAAGTGGTTCTTCCAATATTTTTCTTTTCTCACACCCCAATTTCTTCTCCAGTCTCGGCAGTCATCGATTACCAAAGAGCCTTCTCAGCAGACTGGAACTGCACCGAAGTCCTCTTGGTGGAGGGACATTTTGTAGCCACAGAGAGCTGAATGGTTCCAAATTCGGTCATTGCAAGTCATCCGGCAGGGTATCTGCTGCACACCGAAATCCCAGGTTTGAAGCTGAGCTGTCTGGAGTGTTCTGGCTGCGGGCTGCGCAGCGATACCTGTAGCAATAGGACTAGAAGATAGGAGAAAAAACAGAAAATAAATTAATGCAGTAACTCAAGGAATACAAGCCATAACAAGAGCTGGTTAAGACCACGATCACCCTAGATCACTTCAGTTGTTGGTCGAGTTGTGATCTGTACTACTGGATAACAGTCAGATATCATATTGATGTCAGCAAGTTAGAAAATCCTATTTGAGAGAAGAGAAGCTCAAGAAAAGACTATTGTAGTAGCTTTCTGAACACTTTTCTACCCCTTTAATCTGTCCTTCTCTCTCCTGCTGCCTTCCCTCCAGTCACTTGCATTTTCCTCAAGTTCTTACATTTGGTGAAGGCCTGCTCCAAGTTTTGAAATAAGGTGTTTCTGGCTACTACTAGCTGTGTTCATAAAAATGCTATCTTCCCCGTGTGCTGAAAATGAAAGAAGTCTGTAAGCTATTTGGACGCTATTCATTGCCACAGAAATGCATAGTGTTTTAGTAGATGCTGCCTACAGATTAGAGTTTAATAAAAGAGTGCTATCAACTTGTAAGAGATTACAAGCAGAAGACTGGAAAAGGAAAAGAGCACGTTTTTCTACTTAAGGCTTGGGGGTTGTGTTGGTTCCCCTCTCCCCCCCTTTTTTTTTTTTTTTTTTTTTAATTAAAAAACACAGGTGGAGTGGGATAAGCACCAATTAAAAGCAGAAAAATGCGCTAGAAGAAAACTGAGGAAGACTGCATAAGTAGCATAGTTTCTAGCTTACCGATAACTGCGGTCGTGTGTAGATGGAACGAGGGGCATGTGCGCATGACACTTTAAAGCAGGCTAAATGCTTTTGCACTGCTTTAATAGTGTTGGTGTTTGCACACGCTGGCGGCGTATAATGCATCAATTGCAGCCACTGTAGCAAATTTGGTGGATAATGTGCCTTGCGCGACTTGGGGTGCAAACTAAAACTCCTCTGAGGAGTTTTGGTTTGCTGCCCCTACAGCTGCGGAGTGAAGCAGCTCAGGGGCTCTGCAGGAAGCCCTGCAGGCAGCCTGGCAGTAGCCCAAGAAGGCAGGCTCCACCCAGAAAAGCGGGGAGCCTGATTTCCCCCCCCCACCCTCTCCCCAGAGCTTGCCTGCCTGAGCTGTGCTGGGGCCCAGTGCTTCCCTCTGTGGCTGCGGTGCCTCCCAGGACCGTCCGAGCTGGGTGCTGGAGTGGGGGGCACTGCTGCTGTGGAGGGAAGCGCCAGCTCCCACCCACACAGTCTAGGGACTGCTCCACCCACCAGCAGCTCACCCTCCCCTCTGCACTGCTGAAGAGGCAGGTAAGTGTGGCAGGTGTGTGTGCACAACACAGGGGTTTAAAGGGCCCTAAATTGAAGTGGTGTTTTTAGAAACCCACTGCTTCAATTTAGGGCCTCCCCTCCCCCATTTCATCTACACACGCCCTGTGGAACAAAAAGGATTGTAAATGCTGGCTGCACACTTAAAACTGCATATAGAATTGTTGTCTATATCAGAAGGCAACCGTGTTGTATTTCTTATTTCTGGATTTTAGTTTTTTTCCCCTCCATGGCAGATAGCATATAGATTGCTCTGCAAACTATTATACTCTAAAAAAGGAAATGCTGCATCTCAAAACCAAATTTGTCGTGATGCGTTCTGTACACTTATGTTACAAGGAGTCCTTTACCCTTACATTACCAGGCCTCTTATAATGGGAAGCATTGGACTCCTATTTATTCAGGACAAGAAAAACAACCAAAAAAAGCGTGGCCCATTTTCCAAGATTAGACCATCACATTTCCTCCTCTTAAGACTGAAGCTATTGCAGACTTCGTAACTCCCAATGGGCTTTCAGTCTGTGGACTGGAATAAGAGGTCACTCAACATCCAAACTCTAATCTTGTGAAGATTTTTATAGATCAAACCAATAACAATTCTCACCCCCCTGCTTTTTGCAGCTGATTGACATGGCTAATAAGGGTCGTGTTATATTTTATCTTATCATTTAGTAACTTAGCTGGCCCTTTTGGAGTTGTGTTAATGTCTAAGTGGGGAAAAAAAGGAAAGGGAAGAAATTGATGAACCAAGTCCATTCATTAGAAAGTTTGCCAGAAGGCCCATCTAGCTTTTACACATTACTAGAAACATCACAACAGTTTAGTATTTAGCTTTTTTCTTTCCTTTTACACTCACTTTGCCAATTTTGGGGCAAGGTGTCTTTAAATCCTTACAAGGACTTGGAAAGAAAAGATACTGATATCTAGAAGAATCCTATTGAAAATGTCTTACATAAAGAGAAGAAACTGAACTGAAGGCAAGGCAAACACTGTTCTCTTCCTGTAGCTATCTTGTTAAAGATAAGCAGGCTCCAATATGGTCTGTGCTAGTAACTATAAAAGCAACCGAGTCACTGGTAGGTGATTCAACCGCCTCACGTGTCCCTGATGAGCCATTATCTTGCACTGACAGTTTCCTCTCTCTCACAGGCCTGATTGCAGACTGGACTGCAATTATGCAGCAGTTGTCCTTTTGGAAATTAAGGAAGAAGGAACGGTCATTTAAATTGTCCCTCAAACGTGGGAAGCATCGGAGCATTATCCACCCATTGCCTCTTGCTGCCTAGCCATGGCCCGGTGTGTTGAGCGAGGTCCGCTGGTGAGGAAGCCTCAAAACCTTCCATTGCTCATGTCCCAGGCTAATGCACAGACTCCACGTTCACTAAACACGAGCTTGGCAAAAGGAGAGACGGACTGCCGTACAAACAATCCTGAATCACTGGTTTGTCTGAACTCCAACTCACAGTAACGTGCAAGCTTATCACTGTTAGTCAGCCTAACATAAGAGGTCAAATTTGATTCATGTTCATCTCCCTTATCAAGGATAGTTGGCCTCTGGTTTAATGGAATGGGTTGGGAAGCTGCTCAGAGATTACTCAGAAAAGAATAACGAAATTCATGATTTAGCCATTCACTCCGGACAACTGATTTGCAAAATAGACTGCTGCTGGTTCTCTAAAAAGGAAAGAAAAAAAAACCACCTTGTAGCAATTAGGATAACAATCTGTTTGAATAACTATGGGGATTTTATTACAGTAGCTTTCCGAATCTGAGCATAGCAGTACTGAATGAGATGAAATCTGCTTTACTTCAGTTTCACAAGAAAAATGTAGGTCCTTGAAAAAGATTTAGTTTTGCTTCTGCATCAAATCCACTTATTGGACTTTGCATCTTGTTCCTTTTCCAAGAATGAAATCACTAACGGCATAATTAGAGCCGCACAGCCACAATGTTAACCTTGGGACTAGCAAAGAGTTATTTGTAAAATGTAGGTCAGTACAAGAATTAGAGTTTTTATCTACTTCCTACAAAGCAGACTGGCTCCTCCATTTTAGAAAGCGTCTCTGAAGTGACAGAATTGTTCCAAAGCCATCTGCAGAAAGCAGAGATAACTGGCTCTGCTTTTATAGGCACTTAAACAGAAGGATAGAGTTTTCTCCACATCTCCCTTTTATCACTCATACCAAGTGATAGCATTTTCAATTAATGAAGTGCACCTTAATATTGAGGAGTTGAGGACTCTGCATCTACAAACTGTAACATATTTAAGACATTTCATATTTCCCCTTTCCTGCTCAAGATCTTAATAACAACTATACATATTGCACTTAAATTGTGAGTAGTCTGGCAAAGTTTCAAAGTGACACCAGGGACCTTCCTTTACTCTCAGACTTCCAGATTGGTGGCGATGTGGGCATCTGAGAAAGTGCACTCAATGTAGCCCTATGGCCTCAGCCTGGGAATCTAGGAATAAAAACTTTTGTATTCAGGCTCTACGTTACCAATGGGAAACAAAAAGGTCCCACAACTCGAGTTCAATCTGATGTACGAGCTAGAACAAAACCTAAAACAGCCCCCCACTTTCTAACAGGGGCAAGAGGATTAATCTTTCATTGTATTCTACTGGCCCATAGGCCACAGGTACCAGTCATGAAATTAGCACCTTTGACCATCAATTTCCAGATGTTATTTTTGTAGTTTCAAGTTGAAATCCGGTTTCTCTACCAACTGGCGAGTCACAAGAAGCACAGGAGAGGGGTCAGCTTGCTTTCTAAACAGCTTTCTACTCCTCTGTTGTCATTTCATTTGTAGAGTGCATTTCCCGGGCCTGCGGACTGAAGTACCAGGTTCCACTGCGTAACCAAGCTTCAGTGCAGCTCCCTCCCCCCGCTGTGTGGAGACAGCAGATCCCCGACGTTTACTTCTGCTAACTTTACAGCGCTTCCATCTAAGGAGAAATTCAAGCAACGATTCTTCACTAGATCCTGGACACTAATACAACCTATGAAGCCCGAGAACAGCTTCTGCCCCGAGGAAAAAAAAAGATACAGTGTACTATAACTGCAACGGCCATGCTGGTGCAGAAGGCTCAGTGCAAGCTATGGTACTAACTGGGAATCAGCATCTTACTAAATTTTACAAAACTAACAGCTTTGAGGGGAAAAAAAAATAAAGCACTTTTCAGTATGGTGCATGCACGTATGCATACAGAAGAATCTATTTAAATGGGTTTCAAAAGAGGCATCCAAAGAAAGAGTCCTTGTGCTACTAGTCCCCAATATATTTATTTTGGGTCTTGATATACAGCCTACCTTTATCACCTAAAAAGGTAGACTTCAGGGGGCTTTAAAATGGGTCACGTTATTCATCAGTAAAGAAAAAACTATTCCAGTGTTAATTTAAATCAAAACTGCTAATTAACATCTGACATTGATTTCACCTAAGAAGAAAATCAGTGTAGAGAATGCAATTTCAGTGTGAGAAATTTAATCTAATTATGAGGATGATTTACCAGCTGCAGGCCTTAAAAGGAGAGGAACTGAACAGTACCAGATTTTCATGTAAAGAGCCACAACAGGGGCACATTTTTGCAGGGCAATGTAAGCAGAGTTCAGAGCTTAGCTTTCCTTCATACCAACAACCTGCCAACACCACCTCCGTGCATCTCTGGGAGTATACCAATAGCACAGGGAGGGCAGCTGGTAGGACAGCAGTGGTCAAATTCCCCGCAAGGAATTTCAATTCTTCATCAGTAGCCAAGTCGAAAGCTCTCTTTCAGTAATCTCCCTCCAATCACCCTATACTTTCTAGGTCAAGAGTTGCCCTCAAACTGGAAGTTGTGTCTCTACCTTCTGTTCTTAAAAGGACCATCCAAGAAGCTAGTTCTATCCATCTCAGTATTATCTTTTGCATTAGATGGCATGTTAAGAGTAGTCATTTCTACCTGAACAATATATTCAAGTAATATTTTTTCTGCTGTTTATCAAAAACCTTAAAACATCCTACTAGGAAAGGGTTCAATTCCAAAACACAGAAGCAAGCTGCCTTCATTTGCATCAGATGGCTCCCAATAGCTCTCAGCAGCTATTCAGGATGAATGCAATACAAACACATTTGTTACAAAACAGGGTGGTGACCAAATTTCTGCATGTTTGACATCTTAATCCCACATCTTTATTTATAAGCTTTCCCTGCATGACGTTTTCAACAGGCCAGGGCAGATGTTTTCCTGAAAGTCTGCATGAACTCAGAAATCTGAGTTGCTTCAATAACATGCTTTTTGTAAAACAATCAACTTCGTGGGAAGACTTCAAAAGTTTAAATTATTGGTTTTAATTCAGCTGGGACAGAGCTTTGGAGCATACAGAGTAACAAATATTGTTCTAATGTTTTTAACTTATTTGAAAAATAAAAAAGGGGGGAGGAAGATCGCTGCTGAAGCATCAATCTGAATAAGAAAAAAGAATCACTAGACAATGGCAATAAATAACTTGGGGGGGGGGGGCTGTGCAGATTCAGGAAGCATCTCCTGGGTGGGGGGGGGTGCTGTGCAGATTCAGAGTACTGTATTTTCTCACATACAAGATGCACTTTCCCCCAAAAACAGCTGCTGGAGAAATCAGAGTGCACATGATATTGAAGAAATATGGCACAAGCAGGTTCTGCCACTAGCTTCCCCTGCCAGGAGCCTCTGACCTCCCCCACACCTAGCAATGGTGCCAGGACAGGGTTTAAAGTTCCCAGCTAGGGAAACCCTCAAATCCACTAGAGCTGACAATCAGCCGATTGCCAGCTACAGCCCAGACAGCCCCAGTTCACAAACTGGCCCTAGGGCCATCTGGGCCAGGACTGACTGCCAGCTGATGTCTGCCCAAACAGCCCCAGGTGAACCAGATCTAGGACTGTCTGGGGTTGGGGTCAACAATCAAGTTGACTGTCAGCCCTAGTCCCTGGACAGCCCCAGGTCTCAGACCAGATTGAAGCTGGAACCGTCCATGCGAGGGGCTGTACATATGGCACGGCAGGAAATGCAACTGCTGGGATCAGATATTACCATGCCATAATTAAATGACAATGTGCCAAGGACCCCAGTTACCTACCACAAGGAAAGATGTTTTCTCCTTCACTCTGCCTTTCAACAATAAAGTTCCATATTATATTCGAGAAAATACCGTACCCAGTGCTATGGACTTGAATACGTGGGAACGTTCTCGCACAGTAAACAAGGGGACAAGATTACACTACAAAAAGTTTGGGGGGGACTGCCATTTCAAAGTGGGAGGATGCTTAGGGTATGTCTGGATGGCTCAGAGTGAGTGGACAAGCCCTTCACTAGGATGGAAACAAAGCCACGCACGGCCACATTCAGCACTGCACTAAATGGAGCTATCCTGCTTCTGAGGCTAGTGCACGCGAGCTCAGTGCACAGTGCTGTGTTGGGCCAGAGATGTATTCTGAGCACACGTTAAGGGCTTGAACACAAGGAGAGAGTACAGAGTCGCTAATGTGGCATCAGATGCTCAACTGAGCCTACTGAGAACTAACCCCTCTATGTAGACAAGATATTTATTTAGCACAAAGACTACTTACGGAAGTTAAGTTCAGTTTGGAAACAGAAAATTCACTGCACTGGAAGTGCTCACAGCAAATTATATTAATGTGACATGGGTCAAGTTAGTCTTTGGGGAGGAAAGCTGACTACAAGGCTTACTGCTTAGACTAGCCATCTTTTCAAGCCCAGGAAATCTGCAAGTCTCTCTTTCAGTTCTGTTATTACTTCCAACCATCTCAAAGCTTTTCTAGTTTTGCTCTTAGTAAGAAAATTATACATTTCATTAGCTTTAGTCATCATTGGGGCCATCTGCTTCCTTCACTTTCTTCCAGTTCTATGTCACCAAAGGACCTTTCCCCCCTCCCCCCCACCTCTATGAATCACCACAGGGGAAACCTTTTGAACCCATACCTCATACCAAATACTGACCAAAGTGTTTGCTCCACCAGCACGCTTGCAGTCAAGACAGTTACTGGAGATGTAGCCTGCTCAGGGTTACACTCAAGTTTTCTTCATATTAATACTGCTCAGTTGACAGTACACTTTCCTACAACCTTGGCAAGTTTGAGTCCCATAGTAGAAATTGGATCTGAACCAGTGACAAGGCAGCAGAGTACTGACTGGGGAAGGGGTTTAGAGCAGAATTGGGGGGGGTGGAGATGAAACTGCTACACTGCCAGTAAGACTCCACAGTCAGGATGAAACTAAACTCCTCTCACCGCTAACTTACCGGAAGCAACCTCAGGATGAGATGCTCTTTGTAGAGTACAAGGGATAATCTTGATTGATATTTCCAATTTCCTCTCTCATTTAGGCTGTCAACACCCCTCAACAGGGGTTGAGCAGCACCGTTGGGAAGGTCCAGATAGTTTGCTCCAACAGGGAACAGGAGAGAGAGGGAATGGGTGAAGGTAGAGTTTTAATATTGGGGAGTTTGCTGTTGTTTCTTATCTTCAGGGGTGTCTTACGGTACATCATCCTGAGCCTTTCTGAGTAAGACAGAAGGTTTGGTTTCCCTCATCTGCCTGAGAGGATTTGAACCCGCACCTCTCCTGCTCAGGAGAATGCCCTAAAACCACAGGCTATATTAGGCTAGGAGTTTTCCCAGCTTTAAATTTTTTCTGACATTCACTAGAAAAAAGAAAGACAAATTCCCATATCTCAACTTCATAGACAAGTGTCTAACCTCCAAGATAGTTTTCCAATCTTGATGTCCAAGTATTTAGTATCAAGTGAACAACTTTTACAATAAGCCATCTATATCATATCGAAGATGTATTAGAAGTTACACTAATTCTGGTTTAAAGCCCAGTACTAGGTTGATCCTAGTCTAGGACTGTGGAATTTTCCCTCTCGTCCCTTCATGTCTTAAAATTTCTTTCTTTCTCTAGAACAAAATATATTTGTCTTGCTTCACTAGTAAATTTTATAGTTACAGCTCCCAAAAATGCAAGAAAACTACAAACTACACGGTAGAGAACAGGGATGACAGCTAGTAATTAAGTGCTTGTTCTGAAAGCCTGCAAACACTAACGACACTCCACAATTTAAAGAACGCCACCTCGAATGGAAAAGGACACTAGTTCTCCTCTTCAATACCCAATTCTTGGCTGTGGGGCAAGGAAGGCAAAACATCCTGCACTCTGAATGCTTTTCAGTACATTTCTATGAAAACTTGCCAGTTTGAGGAATATATGGGTGTAACAGATTACATTTGCTTATATTACAATGTGGGAATGTGAAGCAATATGGAAATACCTTAATTTAGCCTATGTGCCTTTTTTATAACAATACAAAAGCAAAACAAAATCCAACAACGCATTCTCAAGAGTCACTGTCATCTCAAAGCATAAGGAACGGAGAGGTGTGCTCTTAAACGAACAAAAAAAACAACCCAAAACCAGCCAACAAACCTTTGACAGCACTTAAGTATATCCAAGTAGCCTGGAGAAGGTTTCTGTAGGCTAAGGTTCCTATACATTAAAGGGTGCTTGAGAAAAAAAGGTTCTACATTTTTATCAATTATAATGACTCTTGAGCATTTCAAGGTTTTTAGGTCCATTGAAGAAAAAAAAAAAAAAAAGGTTTGGCTGGAAAAAACTTGTACAGGAACTCGAAGATATCTGGTAACATTTGCTACGACAAAAACATCCTTAACCAAAACAACATGGGCGGGCGGGTGTTAACTTCAAGAGTACATTTTGTAAGCTGAATAGACAAAATGCTTTTTAGGTGACAAAGACTGGTTCACAAGCTGCTAGGCCGACCCCACATACAAAAAAATAAAAAAAAATAAATAAAAAAAAAAAAAATCAAGAATTAAGTTTCTACAGATAGCACAGGCCTGTTCAAGAGAAACTAGATTCTTTCCTTCAAGGGAAGAATCATCATGGTCTGAACACAGAATAATTTATGGCAGAACGTAAAGGTGCAGGAGGACATAAAATTTGCACATGGGAAATAGTGTCAGTGAACTGAATTAAGCAAATACATAATCATAGAAAAGCATGGCTGGAAGGGATCTCAGGAGCGTGTCTAGTCTAACCCCGTGCTCGAACGATTGGATCCCGAAGTAACTATTCCGAACTTGCAAAGACTTTGTTAGCCTGGAGCCGATAAC